ATGTCAATTCATGTAATAATACAAGGGAATAAATCGTATAATAATACAAGCAGTAAATGATGCCAGCGAAATGCAAGTATGTGGGTGATCTTGTAACAAATTTGTGTCTGGCCCAGTCAGCTCTTTATTACTGAACACTGACATCCAGTGGAATGATGATTCAGTGATCTGAAGGGACTACACCAGGATTATTATTAGCATTGCATCTACTAAAGCCTTTAGCGCATTAAATTTCAGTTGTGCGGTTTAAATGAATTAATTAATGGATGCAGTGTTATTTTCTTAAAGGAAATTTGCATATACTAAATGCTTTAGTAAATCTGGCTCTTTGAATCCATCAGATGTTTGGCCCTTCCTTTCCATAAAGTAGTTTTTCAAAATGTCTTGGATATAATTGGACCCTACTAAAATATAGCAAATGCAACCCATAAGGAAGTGTCTGGATCCAATACAGTCGCCATTTGATATGTTCACATTTTACTTACAGCTAGGATTGTATTTAATGTAGAGGTATTTTCTATGCATGTCCCTGGTCTCATTTATTCCAGTTACTCTTCCATTCACTGAATAAAGTCAAACCTCTCGTCTTCCCCTCATGCAAGCTCTTTCTTGGCCGACTATTGCTACACTTCTCCTCGAGACATTAAGGATTTGAACAGTCCTTGGGTTCCCCTCACCGGGACTGGACGCCAAGGGTGATCTTCAGGTTCTCATACACCACATAGCTGATGCTAACAGCAGGAATGACCTTCATAAAGTTGGGTGCCAAGCCTCTATAGAGTCCAATAGCGCCCTCTGTCCGTACAATGTGTCTGAAGAGACCAGTCATGGTCATCTGTGGGCTGCCTTCCTGAGTAGCTGCTAACCAATGAAGAGCAAGAACAAAAAGCCAAAAATCAATTGGACTGTGACAGATAAACGATAATAGTTTACTTAGTGAATGAATTAGACATTCATAACTTCTAGCAGGAAGCCTTCTAATTATGTATTTGAGAGTTTAAAGACTTACCTTGAGCCTGCATTCGTGTCCTCACTAAGGCTAACGGGTAGCTTGCTAACTGCCCACAAGTACTAGACATTGTACCACAGGCTAGCAGCACGAACACACCCGGATCGGCACTGTCTGTAGCAAACCTCTGCAGCCACCAGTTTTTCAATGTCTACACATGAAAATAAGAGCGACATGAGAGTTACAATATAGTAATTATAATATAAAATAATGTAATTTAATGTAATTATATTTACAATATAAATTAATCATAAAATACATAAAACATTCAGGAGGTAGAAAACTGAGGGGGAAAAAAGATTATAAAAAGCATGTAGCACAGTATTATTTATAGTATTTTCTATATAATATTTTGAATGCGCTTTTTTATATTTTCAGGTTTAATTTTAGATTTAGTAATTTTGTTGTGCTTTTGTCAATTACTAGTTTTTGTTTTTATTTCTGTTATGCTTTAATATATTTTCATTTCAGTTTTCAGATAAATTTAGCAATAACTAGTGCTGTCAAACGATTAATCGCATCCCAAATAAAAGTTTTT